TTTTTTTTTTTTTTTTTTTTTTACCCAAGCAAAAACTATCAAACAGGGAATAAAGCTCCATCCATTCACTAACTTCTCTATCATTTCAGATCTTCTGAAGCAAATAATACAACTGAAATTTTCTATAGCCCACGCTACCTCATAGATCATAGTAAGTATTATTTCTGCTTGGTCAGAAAAATGTGAAGTGCTAACCCATCAGTCAACACTAAACCTGATATTTAAATTATCTACCACTTGCATAATTAAGTCCTTGAGCTTGACAAGAATACCACGGACTTCTTGAGATACTATAATGGAAAATTTAGTAAAAGCAGCATATTCTTTCTATTTGAATTGCCAAAACTCAAACCACCTCACAGCTTAGAGTGAGAGAGAAACTTCCAAATAATTTGAGAGATGTGAACTGGGAAAACTGGAGCAAAATGTTTTTCCATGCCCATCCATGGATAAAAAGGGAGACAGAAAACGAGAAGGGGAGAGAAACCTGTCCGATACGAATGGAGCAGACACCTTGGCCTCCATTTCTTGATTCACATGTTGTAAACCATCCTCATCATTAACTGTTGACATAGAAATGTAGAAAGTTCAGTTAATTATTTGCATCATCACGAAAAGCAATACAAATAAAAATAACCTTTGTCCTTATTGCTCATCATATAAGGAAAGTAGTGGGTTTGTGCATTGAACTGTAAGAGGATTTAAGAGTTCGATAAAAGTAAAAAGAAGTACCCACATCCTCGACGCCGATGCTTAATTAAATCTCGATAACGCTGAAAATTAACAAACTCTTCTAACTCCTCTTCTTCCTCAGATTTTTCTTGTGTTCGAATATGTCGAGATCCAGGTTCTCGTATGAAATCAAGCAAAGCACGTCCATCAAATCTGCTCAAAAAATGAAAAACCTACTCCTCAACCTTAAATCATAAACCATTAGCTAAACACAAAGTTTCAAATTAAAACAGTCCTCAGATGATTAAAACTAAAGGAACTGAACCTGTCAATCATAACATCCTGCTTTCCATTCCAAGGAATCCTGAGACAGAAGTTACAAAAAAGAAGTTAAAGCATTAAGATACAGTAAAGAGTTCGGATGCTCAAAAACAATAATGTCACCGAATTAGTAAAAACATGCCCTGGCAATGGGAAAAGGTAAAGAAAAATTCCAGTGATGTACCCATTCTGTTAGAGGTGAAACGAGAGGGTTAGAACTTTAAAAAAAACGTACAACCTCCTGCAATCAAACCCTCTTATAGATACGCAAATGAATGCATCCTTAGGTAGTCGTTTTAAATAACTCAATGAATAAAGTGAAGGCGAAAAATGTTTCGAAATTGTGATGCAGTTGAACCCTACCGTCCAATTCCCAAATTTCCCTTCAGCACTACGCAAACCACTTTCAAAAGACAAACAAATTGCAGCAATTGGAACAAATTTAACACTTATACGCTAAAGAAAGCAGCAGAGAACATAAGCCAATTCCAATATCTAGAACACTTTAAAACATCACAATTCATACTACACCCAAGTTTTGATATCTAAAGCAGAGATGAAATAAAAAATTCTTACAGGCCTTGCTGGTCCTGAGTTGCTTGATAGAGACCATCATCACGGTAGACGCGGCACCGAGTACCAACGACCTGGATGGATTGTTGAGGATCGCCACGACGTTTGGCAAGAAACACAGCGCGTCTTTGAGCTCGCTTCCGAGCAGCGTCCATCATGTCGTGGACCTTCCTCTCGGATCTCCTTGCCTCGTGCCACATCTCTGGAAAATCAGCAATGAAAATTCTAAAGGATTTGGATCAAATCAGGACAACGTAAAAACCCTAATCCCCTTCTCTCCTCGTGGATGATGGAACCACCAAGTTCCCGATGACGAACACGATCTACGGTGCTTTCAATTCAATAGCTTGGGGAAGGTTCGGATTTTGGACTGAGTTTGGGTCTTTTGGGCCTTTAGTTATTTATTTGGGCTATCTAGGGCTGAATTAGTTTTTTCTTTTTTTTCTTTTTTTCACTTTTTATACTAAATAGATTTATATGTAAAAAAAAAATATAATTAACAAATTATAAATTCAATTTTCAAACTAATAGTATCTATTTTATTACTTCAAAATTAAAAAGGTTGGTCTGTATAATTTTATATAATAAACAAATAATCAAATCAAATATATTTTCTTTACAAATTAATAAAGTAGATTAGATAGTTGACCATGGTCAATGTTTGTCTGCGTCACACGTGAATTAACAAAACAATACAATACATAAATATTAGACATCATCGGCAAAAAAGTGCTTAAAATGGATGATTATTACTTATTAACTATACCAATTAAATAATAAGACATTTTTTTTCGATAACTCATTTGATTCAACAAATGCCTACTCTGATATCTCATGTCATCGATCACCAAAGAGTTGAGACAAACTTCTACTATGGTTTGTGCTTACTTAGAGAAAGCAACAACATTGATGAAGAGATGGCCCGATTTGCCACAAAAAAAAAAAATTCTAATCAAGCTGAGACTACAATAGTTTTGGTTTTGAGTCAGTTAGATTAACAAATTGTACAAAATTATGAAGGGTTAGTCGAAAACATCCTATAAGATTCAATTGCCTTCATGTGTGAAAATTCACCTTGTTATTGATGCAAGTAACTTGAAAGTATATCAAACAGATTTAGATAAACGAGGCGCAACAAGATGGCATGACCTCCTGTCACGATGGAGAATATTAAAAGAAAAAAGTTAAAAGAGATTCTGGGTTTCCACCGGAACCATTTAAAATAAATCATTTATAATAATTACAAACTAAGGTGATAGTGTTTCAAGAACAAGACACCCAATCTTACCATATACTATAGTCTCTTTAAGTTTAAGAATCACTCATTAACTCGATAAAAAAAACAACAAAATCATTTATTTTTGTTTTCCATGTATTAGGTGTCAATTACAAATATTTATTGAGTAGAAGGTTATCCTAATTTTTGTTTGTTATTCTCTAATTGTCTGGTTTAGAGACGTTTTTCCATTTTGACTTTTGTTGGTCTTTCAGTAGGAAATTCTCGAGAAATTTTACCATTTTTTTTTAAATGTCCATTCATAACGCGAAATTTGTAGGAAACTATGCTCCGAATGAGGCAATAAATCCTATTTGATTTTGGAAAATGGAGACAAAAAAAATATATATATATATATTTGGCCCACCTTTCTCAACGGTTCCTATACTTGAAATTTAATTTTAATTAAATATATAGTCAAACACGGTGTAGTACAGGTAACATGCCTAGCTGGATGATATTTTGTCTCTATTTTAGACATTAGTCTTTGTGACCATTTGGTACCCAAACCACATGCCAATTATTCATATTTTTAGGCCCCTGAAGATTAATTTTTCCAAAAATTTTATTTCCAAAATATACCCTAATTCTTTTACTCTTTTAATCTATATTAAATCGATTTTAAAAATTAGTGAAATTTTATACTCTCTTTAAATGAAAATCCTTTTAACTTAAAAAAAATTGAAAAATATTTTTATTATTAGTATTATATTTTTAAAAAATTATAAAAAATATTACAAATCATTTCATTCAAAACTAACCAATGTTTTTTAATTTTAAATTTAAAAATATTTTTTAGATTTTTTAAAAGTTTAGATGTATTATTAAAATTTTTAAAAGTTTTTCAAACAAAAGGAATAAGAGAGTTTTATTATTATTATTATTAGTTTAGACTTATTACTTATTTATCAAAAATCATGATTTTTTAATAACACTTGAACAATTAAAAATAATAAAAAATAAAATTTAAACAATTGAAAATAATAAAATAATAAAATAATTATCAATGGAGCTCATGTCTTGTTTTATTGGCTATTTAATAATCTTTTGCCCATTTCAGAAGGCGTTTCCCAATTAATTTATTCTATGTAATACTTTTGAAAAAAAAAAAATTCACATAACAATAATATTAATAATAAATATTATTATATTTTTAATTTTTTTTTAAAAAAAAACTCTAATTAAATTGAACCACGCTCATTCTAAAATTAAATTGAATTATTTTATTCTGTAGCCCGCCAAAGATAAATCAAAATCTAATTAAATATATGAAATAAATTATTTTTAATTAAACTAAAATTCTATATATATGTTTTTTTTTTTCGATTTTGATGTTATTAATATATATATTTTTCATTATTGCATCACACCTAATTAAAAAGAAAAGAATTCATTTTTTCTTAGAGCCAATTAACTCAAACAATGTTTTCAAAGAAAAATAAAAATACATTTTGTTTTTATTCAATTTTGTGAGATATGTATTTTTTTTCTTTAATTATTAAAATTTACATTAAAAAAAGCTATTTTCATCGTTATTTTCAATCTTTTAACCCAGATTTTTTACAAATAAATTATATATATTTAAAAATTTAATAATTATTTTTTTAAAATTAAAAAATTCAATACTTTTGACTTATTATGTCTAAATTCAAATATTTGTGAAAAAGGTTCATGACGTAATAGCTTTGAATAAAAAAATATCATATCAACTTTTTATACAAAGTTTAATTGCTAAAAGAATAACATTTAAATAAGTATAGACTAAGATAAATTTTTTACCCCTAAACTGATTTTTTTTTATTAAAAATTTTAAATTCATCAAATTATCTCTCAAATTTAAATAAATAAAAGATTTTATTCAAAAATTAGTTAAAAAAAACATTCTCATATCCTCAATAAATCGTAAAATTTAGGTATTTTACAAAATTGATAAGATTCATAAAATAAAAATGCTATTGTAATACAAAATCAGTGGATAAAAAAAAAAAAAAAAAAACTAGTGGATGATATTGTAATATTAAATTAATTCTATAATTTTATTTGGTAAAATTAAAAGTTTTAGAGTGGAAATTAAAAAGAGGTAAAAACTAAATGTTATTTGACCTTAACTTGAAATGAGATTAGCATTTGTCTACCTTTCGAAATATTCAAAGTAACCTAAAAGTAACTAAAATAAACGTGAATGTCTCTAGGCAAGCCTAAAGCACATAACCCACCTCTTGAAGCTACGTGAGTGTCTTAAAATTACCCAAACGTTCTTTGAAATCAAAACTTAACTCAAAATGATATTAAAATGTATAGAGCAACCCTAGAAACCTACCAACTAATCAAATGTGGCTAAAAAGTGTCTAAGTGTCTTTAGGAAACCTTAATGCACTTCTAGTCACCATTACTTACTACCGACAACCCCTTATAATGGTTGGTTGTAATGACCTGATTATATATTTTAATATAAATATAGCAAAATTATCTATACAACTCTTGAAAAATGTAACAAATAAATATTTCTTAATTAAAAGATCATTCAAACTTATTGTATTTAATAAGTTTTTAAATGGTAAAAAATGTCAACCAATAATTAAAAAAATTAAAATTCAATTTTAAGTAAGTACATCGAAAAGTGGAAGGATAAATTTGTAATTTTAAATAATAAATAAATAAATAAGAGGGTGGGAAGGATTCAAACAAACGAAAAATAAATAAATAAATAAATGAGAAGAGTAATCGATGACAGATCATCAAGAAAGAAGACGTGGACCAACCAAAACTAAAGTCGCCTGGGGCCCACCACCACCACTACCACCAAAATATCCACTTAATATAACCTATCTTCCTCTAAACCCCTCTTATTAAAAATAAATAAATAAAAAAACCAAAACAGAGAGAAAAGAAAGAAGAAGAAGCCATTGAGCCCTCCGACGAGGCCACTGGACCTCCGTTCATCCCCGGCCACGGGGCTCTGTCGGGGGTTCCACCCAAACCCACATCCACCATGTCCGAATCCTACGCGCCTCCGCCACCGCCCCGCAAGCCAAGGTTCGTCCCGACGGCTCTGTACAAGCAGCGATCCTGGTCGCCGGACGCATCGAGAGAGGAGGCGTGGCAGAGGCAGAAGGGGAGAAGCAAAAAAGGAAGAAGCCGGAGCGTGACGGCGGAGGATCTGGACGAGTTAAAGGCCTGTCTCGAGTTGGGTTTCGAGTTCGACTCGTCCGAGTTAGACACCCGACTCTCCAATACCTTGCCGGCTTTGGAACTGTATCACGCCGTCAATAAAAGTTACTCCAATTCCATCTCCAAGTCCACCGCTACGACGGCGGTTTCATCCCCCGACCGTGATTCCGTCAATTCTCCTTCCCCTCTCGGCAGCCCCCTTGCTATCCTCGGCTCCTCCGGTATTCTTCAATTTCATGCTTTCTTTTTTCTTTTTTATTTAATTTAAAAGTATTGTAGAAATGAATCTAAACGAATTTGTTTGATGGAAATGAAAAGGAAAAAATCCACAGGCGGTGAAGACAAAGCTCCGACAGTGGGCTCAAGTGGTGGCCTGTTCGCTCAGAAACTCCTCAACCTAAGTCCGGTTAATTCTAAACTAAACCATAGTTACTCAAAAGAAAAATGGACGTCACCGTTCACCCACCACCGCCAGTATCATTACTGTTTGAATTATTAGTACAATTTTGGTGATTGTTTTTGTTTTAGAGGAGTTTTATATAATATATAATTATTATATGCAAAAATGGAGAGACAAAAAGAAAAAAAGAAGAAGAAAACAGTGGTGGGTGTTATTTTGTGTTTGAACTTTTTTGTTTTCGACTAGGTTTCTGTTTGAATTCTGTTGTAAAAAGGTCAAAACTTTGGTGGGTGTCCTTTTTTCTTGGATATGATTTCATCTTCTTCCAGGTTCTTGAAACACTTTTGGGTAAGTGATTGTTGATTTAGGTTTGACGCGCCAATTATCTCAAAGTTTGTTCTACCATGTTTGCTTTTGGCTTAACAAATATGGAAAAATCAATATATGTATCTTTGTTCATTCCTTGGTCTCTTTTTCTCGCTTCCTACGTCTCCGAAGAGTGATGATTCACAACGAAAACAATTTAGATTAGGATTTGCAATTTGGATTCGGCACCTGATGACCCTAACGTTTTCTTATGACATGATTATGTTACTTATTTCTCGCTTCTTAGAGGGAAGATTATGCCAACAAACTAACATGAGTCCTCTCGGCATGCTGTCTTCACTCACATGTCTTATAAGAAAGTTTTCTAAAAGTCATTTAACATAGGATATCTCCAAACAAAATATGTTTAGTTTTGGGGTTTCTGTGATTGAACTATTGAAAAAGAAAGTGCATCTTGTCGCATGAGATGTAGAAGAATGTTGAGTCATCAAGTGTTAAATCCAAATTTCAAATGATGTGCTCTTGCTATCGTCCATGATTCTAATGAAATGATGTGCATACTGTTGTTCCATCCATAGTATAGATATATTCGAATAAGCTATTGCTAGAGTCTACATCTTCACTAAGATCAATATCCATAAAATGTAATAGTACATCTTCACTACGATCAATATCCCATCCTCCAAAATGGCATCCATAAGGCACTAAGGGACAATACACCCTAATTTGTATGATTAAAGCAAAGCGAACACTAGAAATGAGCAAGCCACAACACTAGTACGAGTATCATCAAGTCGTCGCTTCCAAATGTCTCGACGCTACACATTTGACAATATACACCAAAGCTAATGTTACAAATGTGTGCATACTTTCTTTTGTCACCTATCACGTTATAATATCACATAGAGCTAATCACATTGCAACTCGTTTAATATCTAGAAATCAAATAGTTTTGAAAGAACTTCTAATAACTCGAAGAACTCTCTCTGCAACTTCTTCTCCAAATTGCAATGGCATCGTTTTGCTTAGATCCATTTCGATTGCTTTCTTCTTAATCATAAGATCTCTCTTCTCCAACAAACTCCTTTCATTACCATCTTCAATCTCCCTTCCTCCATTACTACACAACTCCATCCATATCCTCAACACCTCTTTCGAGATCGGACCGATTTCCTCACGAATAATCTCTTCCACACGCCCCGACTCGCTCTCCTCGCACTTCATACTCACTAGAATTCCCGTCGACGAAACAACTTTTCGAAAGAAAAGTGATGAGGAGAAGTACGGGCTTACTTCCGGCACGGCGTCGAGTCGGCGTCGATACTTCTCAAGCTCAGTCTCCTCGTAGAAAGTGGTGAGGTAGTCGGGACGGAGGATGATATCAACTCGAGGGATCAAATCGAGGAAGAAGATTAGAAAAGTAGGGCTGCATTGCACTAGCTCGAATTGGAAATGAGGAATGTCGTTTGTGGTTTTCAGGTAGCTGGCGATGTTGGTTATGTTGAATGCGCCGCCGTGTGGTTGCTTTAAGTGTAACCAACTTGCAATCACGAAATCAATCTGAAATTTCGAGAAAGTTGGTATTGTTGAGGTATGATTTAAAGTATTCAAAAAGATATAATTTAGAGTAGTTGAGATATGATTCAAATATTCAAACTAACCAAAGATTTTAAGAGATTGTCAGTAGATTTGATGATTTACTATTTCTTGTCATATATAAGTATAAATACGAGAATTATGTAACCCTCTAAGATCAAATCAATAAACAATAATAAATCACTACAACGTTCATGTATAAGTATAAATATTGGAATTGTGTATCCTTTTACCAACCTTTTTACAACCGGTACAATTAATTTTAAAATAAAAAAATTAAATTACAACCAAAAGAAAGTTACCGGCGACGGTGGAATGGCAGATCGGATGAGAAGAGTGCCCTGTGAAGTGCCGGTTTGGTTCTGATAATACTCTACATCTGACGGAACCGTCGACGGAAGTAGATGCTCTCCGACCCCATCATCGACGGCTTGGATTAAATCCACCATCAGATCTCTGTGCGCAGCCGTCAGATGCGGAAACTCCATCAGCTTCGACGCCGGCCGACCACTCCCCATCTCCGCAGACGGCAGCTCCGCCTTGATTACTTGCCGTGTTCTTCTTCTTCTTCCTCCGAAACGCGATGGTGGAAGACAATAACAAGCTCTTGGGACCAGCGTCAAGGTTGTCAAAGCCATTTGTGGCCTCTCATTGCTTCATTATCTTTATTTATTTATTTTATTTTTTATTGATAAAAAAAATATATTTTAATCATTTTCATTTTCAAATTATTTAAAAAGAGGAATTAAAGACATTTATAATTTTTTTATATAAGTTTTAAAAAATCTAAAATGTAAGGTTTATTATTTATATTATAGGCATTAATGAATGAAGAAAATTAAATAAAAAAAAATATATAGGATTTAAATGGATGGTAGTTTAGTAATTGAGTCCTCCTAAATTGCATTTTTCATTTTAATTGTGAATAGTTAAAATTAATTTAAAATATTTTAATATTGACTTAACAAAAATAAAATAGTTAAAAAGTAATTATTTAATATTAACTAATGTAATAATTATTTTTTAAATAATTTATTTATAAGAAGTTTGTAAATACAATTATTAGATTATATTATATTTTTAACTATTCATTTTTTTGGAATTTTTTTTCTATACGCCACGAACAAAATTTTAAACTAAAGGAAGTTGTGGGGCCCGAAGAAACCCAAATCAGAAGATATTTTCATTATCCCGAGTCTAATCCGAGCTATCCCACCTTCGACACAGGGATGAAAATAAAATGCCAAAAATGGCGTTTATGGTTTATCCATCTGCAAAAGCTTTCACTCTTCCGCCGCCGGTGGAATCCCGTTTCAGAGAATTAGTGATAAGGAACGCAGCGTCGAACATGGCAGAGAACGTGCCGATCCGGCCGGGATCGTCGTCGAAGCTGAAGGAATTTCCGCATCTGTCGGCTTCTCACAGAGCTCTGATGACTGATCTCGTCGGCGCTATTGAATCTCGACTCGAAGATCATCTTCTTCCTTGCACTCTTCCTCCTGATGTTGAATACTTCCAGAATCAGAACGGGACTTCGCAAGGCGCTCTTCTCATCAGAACTGGCTCGCCGGACTCTTCTGTATGTCTCTCTGTCTCTGTCTCTTAAGAAATTTAGATAATCAAACTGTTTCGGATGTACTCTGATCTGCTCCCAATTTTAGCGTTCCGGAATTTAGGATTTAAAATTTAAATTTTTTTCATAGTCTACAGATCGATTAGATATACAATTGATTGTTTATGCATCTGTTAGATACTTTTTGAATCCAAATTTATCCAATGTCCAACACATAGCATGTTAGATACCACGGATTATTGAGTTTTTACATTAATCAAAATCTCTAGCGATTCATAATTGTTTTGTTAAGCATTTGAACTAAAATTCTAATGCATGCGTTTCTACAAATCAAGAGTATGAGATAATTGTGAAAATTTTGTAGCAGCAGATCCAAATTCAAACTGACAAATTGGTAATGAGATTGTGTTTATTATTTAATCTATGTTTCTTAACTTATTTGTTAGATTAATTTCATATTGGGAAGTTGGTTGAATAGCCAGCTACCAACGGGAACATCATTAAACATAGCAAGCCTTTCTGCCTACTTGAGGCCATCAACTGATGCTCCAAACTTCCTCATTGAATTCATTCAAAGCTCTCCAACCTCCCTCATTCTCATTCTGGATCTACCTCCCAGAAAGGATCTGGTGTTCAATCCAGACTACCTTCAATTGTTCTATGAAGATACAGGATTAGACAAATACCGTAAAGCAATCGAAGAACTCCCTGAAGTACGACCATATGTCATGTCCTCTCTTTTCTTCCGCTCCTTAGTTTCTCCAACTTCCATAATTGTCCGTGTCGATACGGAATCGGGAGGACCCGAACGCATGGAGGAGATTATAGCGAACCATGTCGGTCCCGTTGCAAGAGATGTGATTCGGGTGTGGCTGGATGAATGTGCTTGCAAGGAGAGAGGGGTTGGAGAGATGGAAAGAGGTAATATTGAGAAGAGGGATGAGTTGGTTGAGAAGAAAACCATTGATATAGACTTGGGTTCTAGTTTGCCAAGATTGTTTGGCCAGGAAATAGCAGATAGAGTAGTGGCAACCATCCAACAAATCTTTGAAGCATGAAATGGTTTTGCTTTGCTTGTTAGTTGTAAATGTATAATGTATTATTTAGATCCTTAATGAAGTTAATTTCATTTATGATTTTAGCTTGGTTGTTATGAATGAATATTTGACCAAATATATTTATTTATTTCTAAGGTCTTATTTATTTCATAGATGTGTATCTACTAAGTCGTCGATGTTTTTAAGGAGAATTAAGCTCTATATATATTTTTTGCCTCGGCTTTGTGGCTTCATCAGAACTTAGGCGAGATTTGTCTTCGCCAATCGAACATAGCTTGTGCGGAATCCAAGCTTGTTCAACCACACACGTCGCCTGTGCGTGCATGTTCAATCGTCTATGACATATATGACTTGCCTCTACACTAGGTCTAGTTATTTGGCTCGATCTTGCCTCTGCTCGGGCCAAGGTCTCTCAATGCAACGTTGCATCTCATCTTGTCATCTCGATCCCCATCGACATGGTTCATATGCCTTGACGTCATCCCGAGTCTTGGGGTGTCGTCGGTCATGCCATCGAGAACGGCCCACATGTCGCTCATCTCATCGGGACTTCCCGAACATCTATACATCTAGGTTCTATTAAGGCATTGACCCTCCCGTGCCCATGCCGTGTCATTTACGGATACCGTACCGGATAGCGGGTGTATATAGCAACCTCCAACACGCGGGCTAGGGTGCAATACCGGCACACCCGTGCCTCCCGGTACTGCCCTTGAAAAACCAATTTCAAAAGAAGCCACCCGAGACACTCATCTCGACACGCTCGCCCACACTGTGACACACGTATGTGCCACAGGATAACTCACTTAGGCCACAGGAGAGCCCGGGGTGGTGGATAGCTAACACCATGGTACCCTTTAGTACATTTTGAGCAATTTTCAATCTTTCCGTCATAGACATGATTTTGGTGAACGGTCATACAATGTCGTGCATTGTCCGTCCGGTATCCGATTGACACCAAACTTGGCGAGCATTCATATTTCATATGGACAGACTTAACTCCAAAACCGCATGCCCAAATTCCTTCCAGAACCCCGACTTATAAGGCCCGGGACCCTACCCGACCCTTCAACAAGCCTATCTTTGCCCCTCTTGTTTATTCGATGTCTCTGTCTTGCTTATGTCTCAACTTGTATTCAATGCTCACTTCGTGTGGTGTGTTAGATGATGCATCGTTCTCCTCGGTCACATCATGACACTCATCTAGGCTCTTGCGTGGTCGGATAGGCGTCACTTGAGGGTTGTCTCTCCTCTTGTCGTAACAGGAGAGTCACAACAAATCTTCATAGTTAGGTTGTGACATTCTCCCCCACTTAAACTAGTTATCGTCCTCAATGACATATACTTGAGGGCACAACCATTGTTGAGTTATGACACTTAACATGTTAGATACCATGGATTATTGAGTTTTTACATTCATCAAAATCTCTGGCGATTCATAATTGTTTTGTTAAGCATTTGAACTAAAATTCTAATGCATGCGTTTCTACAAATCAAGAGTATGAGATAATTGTGAAAATTTTGTAGCAGCAGATCCAAATTCAAACTGACAAATTGGTAATGAGATTGTGTTTATTATTTAATCTATGTTTCTTAACTTTTTTGTTAGATTAATTTCATATTGGGAAAGTTGGTTGCATAGCCAGCTACCAACGGGAACATCATTAAACATAGCAAGCCTTTCTGCCTACTTGAGGCCATCAACTGATGCTCCAAACTTCCTCATTGAATTCATTCAAAGCTCTCCAACCTCCCTCATTCTCATTCTGGATCTACCTCCCAGAAAGGATCTGGTGCTCAATCCAGACTACCTTCAATTGTTCTATGAAGATACAGGATTAGACAAATACCGTAAAGCAATCGAAGAACTCCCTGAAGTACGACCATATGTCATGTCCTCTCTTTTCTTCCGCTCCTTAGTTTCTCCAACTTCCATAATTGTCCGTGTCGATACGGAATCGGGAGGACCCGAACGCTTGGAGGAGATTATAGCGAACCATGTCGGTCCCGTTGCAAGAGATGTGATTCGGGTGTGGCTGGATGAATGTGCTTGCAAGGAGAGAGGGGTTGGAGAGATGGAAAGAGGTAATATTGAGAAGAGGGATGAGTTGGTTGAGAAGAAAACCATTGATATAGACTTGGGTTCTAGTTTGCCAAGATTGTTTGGCCAGGAAATAGCCAGATAGAGTAATGGCAGCCATCCTAAAGGGATGAGTTTGCTTTGCTTGTTACTTGTAAATGTTCAACTTAATTTCATTTATGATTTTAGATGGGTTCTTATGAATGAATATTCGAAATGGTCTTATGTAAGTGGTCGATGTTTTTATGTATCATGTCGAAAGGGATGAAAAGATTATAAAACTAAGTATTTAAAATACATTCTACAAGAAATTACTCGGTTGAGATTCCTAAAATGGCATCTAAACTTATGTAATTGAACCAGAGGAATAGTGCATGTCATTTCTAATTACATTTTCCAACCCCGAAACCATGTTTAACATTTTCTCAAATAAAGACAAGACCTCATATACATATGACGGCTTCAGCTAAAGAATGGAATCAACTTATGTAATAATAGGTCAACAACTTTTTATTTCTTAACGTTGATAGGAGTTGTTTTTCGTTGGTGTTAAGTATGATTTTATTATTATGTTTGAAAATAAATTTAGTAAGAATATTTAAAGGGAATTATTTTAATGGTTTTATTTTACAGAAAAAAGGAAAAAGTAGGATAAGCATGATCATTCACCTTAATTGTTATATTTAAAATATTTATTGGGTGTTTTCTAAGACAATTTTTTAATTAGTTTATATTTGTCATGTATTTAACGTAAATATTAAATTTAAAAATTGAATTAGAATATTTTCTTCATGGTATATACTATAATTTTTCCATATTTTATTATATAATTATTTTATGTGATTCATTTTAAGAAAATTAAGAAAACAATAAAAAAAATTAAAAAAACCGTAATTATTTATGCATAATATATATTTAAAGAAATTTATCAGCTTTCTATTAATGTAATCCTTCATAATTTATTAAAAAGGAATGTTATTATTTTTTTATCCTAAAATAGTAAAATATAAATAATAAATAAATACAACAAAGTGCAAGATAATAAATTAAAATCTCAAAATTCAGTAACTTACAACAAAACACAAATACCATACCGAATTCAGTTCATGAATTTACGGTTGCACACATTAAGTGCATAATATTAACTATTCTCTAAAATATTAATTATTTTAATTAAAATCCAATTTTATGGTCGGATTCTAAATTAAATAACGAATCCAATCATATAAATTTTGAGTTGGATTGAGTTGGTTCAGATTATTCAAATTATTGTTTTTAATAAAAGTAAAAACATTAGTTCTTATATTTATTTTTAAATATTTTTTAAAATTTATGGCTCTTCAATATATATTTTAAAAAAATTAGGTAAGTTTAGAAAAAAATATTTTTAAGAGTTATTAGATAATAAATAATAAAAATTAATTATAAAATTAGATAAAAATAAAATAAATATATTTATAAATAATTGTATCATGAGAAAAAAAAATATATATTTTAAAAATAATAATAAATTTAAATTGGTTCGATTCAACCCAATATATAAAGTTTTATTTGTTTAAACTACTCAAATAAGTTTATAACCCAACAAAAAAAATTATGCAGATCTGGAATTCAAACTTTCAGCTATCTATTAGAATATAAAGAAGGAATAAAACGATAGCTCGATCAAAGTGATCTCGACCCGTGTTCGAGTAGGGGAGCCCTTTGACCGTCCTAGGTTGATAAAAAAGAAAATAAAAGTTGGAGCATTTAATAAGAGGAATGTGGGTTTTGAAAATATAGAGAATGGAGGGTTAGTTATTTGTTGATGGTTACCAAATATAGAGAGTGTGGATGGATAAGGGGTTGAAATGGTTGTGTATAGGTCGTAGGCGTAAGAAGAGCGATGGAATTTGGGCGTGTCCAGATGTCTTACAAATGAGTGCAGCACGCGCAGGATCTTTGGTCGCTACTCCAGCTCACTCTCCACCCACCTTCCAAACAACCTAAATTCTTCTTCCCCCTCTTCGATTCCTTCTTCTGCTACTCAATTATTCGCTCCAAATTCTGAATGCCACCACAATTTGCGACCGCCTCAACCTCTTCAATCGTCGGATTGGGGTTCCATTCCTGCTGGGAAACCATTTTCGTGTTTCATCTCTCCATCGGAATTCTATGTCTCTCAATTTTGCATCGTTTTTTGTTTCTGGGTCTTCAGGTTTGTTTTTCTGCTCCGCTTGGCGTTTTTGTTGGCTCTCGAGTTGCTGAAATTATCTTTTTTTTTTTTTTTTTTCAATTTTCTTGATCTTTCTGCTATGGATCATCACCTTTGTACATGGGTTGTGTAGGGTTTTGAACCTCTTGAATGTTTGTCTCTGAATGGTTCATGATTGTTCAATTGCTTTTGATTTTGTTTCTTGTTCTGCTAGTTTGATTTTTCTTGGCATCTAATAGAAGCTTGGGTTTGTGATTTACTCATCGATTTCCTCGTCATTTTACATCGTTTGTTTATTCCCCTTTTCTTAAATGGATTTTTACTCCGTATATATTCTGGCATGATTTCATATTTATACATTAACTACGATGAAAGTAAGATTTTCCCCTCTATACAATAAATAGAATGCCTCTGACTTATGTTTTGATTGAATTTATTGAATTTCATAGGTGTCATTTTCTTAAATGCTGCATTATTCTGGAGATAAGAAGGAAGAAATGAAGATGAAGAACAAATACAGGAAATCAACTACTTTACGTTGTGATGCAGGGAGCATACGTTTGCTATCTGTGGTAATAGGGAGTCTAATGGGGTGTATTCTTCTGCTACAATTATATTCTCCTATAAGCCGCAAGGATACGTTTATAGGTCGGGATATCCAACTTCGGACAAGTCATCGCCTCTACTTTCGTGAACTTGAAGAGGTGGAAGAGGAGAAGATTCAAATTCCCCCACCAAGGGGTAAGAGATCACCACGTGCAGCAAAGCGAAGACCGAAGAGAACAACCACACTGATTGATGAATTTCTTGATGAAGATTCACCACTTAGACACAAATTCTTTCCTGATCGTAAAACTTCCATTGACCCAACGATTACAGGAAACGATAGTATGTTCTATTATCCAGGGAGAGTTTGGCTGGATACTGAAGGGAATCCCATCCAAGCTCATGGAGGTGGCGTATTATACGATGAAATATCTGAAACATTCTATTGGTATGGAGAGTATAAAGATGGCCCCACCTACCATGCTCACAAAAAGGGAGCTGCACGGGTAAAGTCATCTATACTCTGCCTTTCTGAACCTTCATTTTCTGTAATGTTAGTCTAATGCGTCCACTGGTAAAAAAAATTCCGATCACATAAACTGTTGTCGTGCATCTATATGAATTTGTTTGACAACAACACATTTTTTATTAGTGCTTCAGAATTTTTTCTCTTATCCATTAATAATAGTATTTTCTTCTTTATTATAGAAACTTATAGTGTCAATTATTGCTCCATGGTGCTTTTATCTGACTTTTATGTTCTTAATACAATGTATATCAGCTTGAGTGATTGTCATATGTTGAATTCCTTCTAGATCACCACTTTTCACCGTACTCCAGTCTTGATAATGTCCTACCCAACTTGTGAATCTTATTAGTTTTTGAGATGGTATGTAATGCTTGAGAGGTTACGTTAAGATCTTGGAGGATGACAGTGAGAAGAAATTTCAATTCAGAGGAAGTGAATGCACTTTGCTGTCTTTCGGAGTTGATCGAGAGAGTGTTGATTTTGAGATAGTAGGTTAAAATGGAATTTAGATAAAATAGGTTTTTTTTTGTTAAATGTTTTGTTGAAGAATCAGCTGATGATCCTACTTGTCCTATAAGTCTCTATAAATGATTTGTGGAAGTCAGAGTCAAAGAAAGGTGAATATCCTAATCTCGTTGGCTTTCGGAAAGCTTAAATACAGCTGATGGACTTTATACAACACATCAAGAAGTTACCAGAAAATCAAGATCTCCAACTGACATGGATAAATAAAGGGGAACTTTGACTAGAAAATGAATCTTGTCATGGGGCAAGAAAATAAGATGAAATTGACATAATTTGTCTAAAATTCCTAGATCCTTCCCTTTCAAAATTGTTTAATTCCTTCCAAAGCTGAATTGTCTGAAAAGAGGGCCAACGTGGTGTTAACCCAACTTCCCAACTCTCTTTCTAAGCCCATGGCCATTTGAGGACAAGACGTCTGTGGGTGATTAGAGTCAGAGAAACACCAGGAAAGATGCAACTCTCTCTTTTTTTGAACCAGAAATGAAACTTTTCATTGAAGAGATGAAAAGAGATTAATGCTCAAAGGATACAAACACCTAATGTTGTGAAGATAAACAAAGTTACAAAGGATTAAATCTTGTAAAGAAAAACCACCAAGGAGTTGGAAAGAGAACACCAAATAGAGGCTTTTAGATGAGCTGACTCAAATTGATCTAACCAAGAACAATGTCTATCTTAAAAAATCCTCTGATTTCATTACAACCAAAGTTCTGAAATCAAAACCTTTTCTGCATTGACCCAAAGCAAATGAGAACCCAAGTGCAAAGGGGGACCCAAAAGAATCCGAAGAACATTGCTTTTGGCATGGGAACAGAAAACCCCCTGCAAATTAAAAATTATGAACAATTTGAACCAGCAAGCTTGAGAGAAAGTGCATTACAAAAAAATTTGGTTGAGAGATTCCGTTGTTTTGTGTCCCCATATCAGCCTACAAATATCCTCAGGCAGGGTTGCCTTTACAGCAGTTGGGTAATGAAAAGGAGATTTACTAGAACAATTTACCAACTTTTCTAAGTACCAAATTCTGTTATCCGAAGACAAATAACATACACGAGAATGCAGTTCTTGTGTTAATTTCAATTTTTTTTGAATCCTGAAATGGTTTTGCCAAAGTTTAGGGACTATTCCTTTCTCATCTGCATTCCAGCAATCCCCCAACTGCTCTATGTCTGCTCTTGACATTTTGAGTTGCTAAGTTTAGAAACTGGACATAACTTTCTCTATCTTCAAATAGTCTCTCCAGTCAAACACTGTCCTCACTCGAAGTTGACATACAGTCCAGACCCTGAGGAAACAAATCAAGATCAGGATCTCTAGTATTAAATTTCTCTGAAGGCACGTCAATGTTTGTCTCAAAGTACTCATATTTGGAGAAGATAACACCTGTTTCCTTTTGCATTCTAGCGATGAGGCCTACTCTTTCTTCCAGTATCAATTTTTTTGGTAGTAGTTTCAATTTTTGTCTTCTCCTTTAAGCCGTTTTACCTTGAGTTGCTGTCCCCATCTAATGTTTTATTTCAACTGTAAATCTTATGATGAATGGGGAGGTCCAGTCCCTTAGAATCTCTTAGTCCATCTATATCAAAAATAGCTTGGACAATCTTAGTGCCTGATGAAAAAGGCTATGTTCTGTTCTTAGATACTGCATAATTTTAATATTTTTATATTTCCGAGATTCACGTTTACTTCTTTTGATTAAAGTGAAAAATGGGACTGTAGAGCCTCCTGAATATAATTATGTGGCTGCATTAGCTTTGTCCATGTTCTCATGTGAGCCTCTGAAATTGGCTTCTCGGTCTGTTTTGTTAACTCATGGATCTATGACTTTCGGTTTCTGACACTTGTAGTTTATCAATATGATTTTTCTTAATCTGCATGTACTTTTCTTCTCATGCTGAAATTTCAGTTGCAGCTTCGGCTTGGGACTAAGTTTAAGGTTGTTTCCCCTTGATTTTTCTTAGTTATGCACGCTAAGAATGGACACTAGTGACTAGCTAATGAAAGAATGAAAAAAAATTACTTCAATATAATTTGCTTTTGTGGACCAGATGTTTTATTTTTTCCTTGAGAATCAAAAATCTTAATATTGTAATAAATGAAAGATATTCGTATCCAAAAAAATAAATAAAAGACATTTCCCCTGCAATTCGATTGGGAGTTTATCTTTAATAGGGCTCTTCATGAAATTGTAAGCTTTGAGTTGAGTGATAGTGTCAATCATCTTTCAAGGGATTTCAGTTGCTTGTTTGGCTTCTCAAGTTCTTCTATTTGTGTTGCATTATCTAGTAAAGGATTTTGCATCTTTTTGGTAGTCTAAACTGCATACATAATCAAATACTCTCTTGCAACTAGTTGACTCAATCATGATACTTAATAGTTTGGCAAAACTGAGTTTGCTTTCAGTCTAATGGATGAGCCACTTGGGGAGTTGGAGTTTCCATAGATTTTTTTTGGATTTTGAAAATCTTGAACGTCATCAAGAGGTCTACTTTGGACATTTCTCTTTTAGGTATGATTTATCTTTATATACATAATAGTAGTACGGGAAGAGGATCAAAATAGAAAAAGAAAATTGTTAGGGAGGGAAGAGAATAAATTAAAGGAGTATTAAAGAAGTGCATATGCGCATCAAAATTTATTTACAGTTGATAGAAAAATATTAAACAGAGTTTATCGAGATTTGAGGCTAAAGTTGGCACTTCCCATTAGGGATATGGTTAGCTTGATGATTCTAGGCTCAAGAACTCAGACACCCTTCTCTTTATGATTCTAGTGGGACGTCCATTTAAAATAGACACGAAGGTCCTATGACTATACATCGTTTAAGCCTTTTCCCGATAACAACGAAGAAAAGTCCTTTGATTGGGTTATAGAATCTTGTATGCTTTTAGTTCTTTCTTGGCGTAAAAACAAAGCCAAAAAAATTGTAACTTGTCAGTTTCCTTAACGATCTGCTGTCCTCCTTTGAATATCACCACCATCTACTATTCTCTTTGTCCGAACCAAACGCTTGTTTGGGTCCACCTCCCACCTCCTATACTGAAGTTGAAGAGTCTTTTAGGTTTACTCCATCTTGAGTCTGTGTCCCCCAAGTTCAAGAGACCACAATTTGAGATGGAACCCGAGCTACTCGGTATATATCAACTTCACTCTAAGCTATTCAACTTTTGTGGTCATCAATATTGGTTGTTACTATCTTCATTCAACAACACATGCTATGGAGTAGTTCCTTCTGGTCTTCTTTCAAGATTTAAGGTGAAGATTTTGTAGAAATTTTCAGTCGAAGGTGTTTTTTTAGGGAAATGGCTCAAAAAGAACCCCTAGAGCTGTGCTAAAAAAGAACCATCAATTTTTTATTTGCTTTAAGATCGAGTATTCTTTAGTGCTGTGCTATTTTAGCTTTAATTTTACTACTTTTTCCACTTTTGTTCATGTGATAAAGGTTTTACTGCTATGTTATCTCTTCTTTGTCACTAGAATCATTTATTCTCAACGCGCGCAACAAATTAGCCTTCAAAACTTGACTAATACATTTTGGTGTTCTTATGATTAGGTCGACATTATAGGAGTTGGTTGCTACTCCTCCAAAGACTTGTGGACTTGGAAAAACGAAGGCATTGTTTTGACAGCGGAAGAAACAAATGAGACCCATGATCTTCACAAATCCAACGTACTCGAGAGGCCGAAAGTAATCTATAATTCAAAGACTGGAAAATATGTAATGTGGATGCATGTCGATGATGCGAACTATACGAAAGCTTCTGTGGGTATCGCCATCAGTGATTACCCGACCGGCCCATTCGATTATCTTTACAGCAAAAGACCCCATGGGTTTGACAGTAGAGATATGACAATCTTCAAAGATGATGATGGTACAGCCTATCTCGTTTACTCATCTGTAGACAATAGTGAACTTCATATAGGACCTCTCACCGAAGATTATCTCGATGTGACCAACGTTGCGAGAAGGATTCTCATCGGCCAGCATCGGGAAGCGCCAGCTTTGTTCAAACACCAGGGAACTTACTACATGATCACATCAGGGTGCACGGGATGGGCACCGAATGAGGCATTGACACACGCAGCAGAGTCGATCATGGGTCCATGGGAGACGATGGAAAACCCGTGTATAGGAGGAAACAAGATGTTTCGACTTGCTACATTCTTTGCTCAGAGCACATTTGTTCTTCCCCTACCTTCATATCCTAGCTTGTTTATTTTCATGGCAGACCGATGGAATCCCGCCAACCTTAGAGACTCAAGGTACATTTGGTTGCCATTGATGGTCGGAGGACTTGTCGATGAACCACTCGACTACAATTTTGGGTTCCCTTTGTGGTCAAGAGTGTCTATATATTGGCATAGAAAGTGGAAGCTTCCTAAGGGCTGGAATCTGTTGAAATGACACGAATTGTTCTTTCGATCGACCCCGCTCAATGTACCATACAAAGAAAGGTCGTTGTTTGATTCTTTCAGTGTCCCATAGTTTTCCTTACCAAGTCAATAATGTTAACTTAGTTCATATTATAGGCACAGAATTTTCAACCCATAGTGAACTTATTATACCTTTTGATTAATAATCATTATTTTAGGTTTTAAATTTCAATCTTCTCTTTCCCTTTTCAATTCATATGATAATATTCGCTCATACTTGAGAATGAGGGTTAAATGTTTTTTCTCCTTGTATCTCATTAAATATTTTAATAAACAAATTACACTAAAAAAATGTTGGTTACTTTCAATAAAGTAATGTTTCAAATATTATCGAATCTATTAAATATATATTATTATTATATTGTGATATATGAATAATGTAATACATATATCTTCCAAATCAATTTAACTGTTTGCTTTGGCCAGTTATATAGTGTCGCTAGCTTCACTGTCTTGTCTTAAAACGGGTGAGTTAGAGAAAGGTTTCTCCAACTTTATAAGAAATATTTTGTTCCTCTCTTCAAAGGATTTTGGATCTCATTATCCATGCATGCCCTCGGAGACTCAATGGTCTTGCTAGCACACCGCTCGGTGTCCGGCTTTGATACCATTTGTAACAGCTCAAACTTATTGTTATTGGCCTAGTATTTATAGTCATCAACCTTACAATTTTAAAATGTGTTTGGTATAGAGAGGTTTCTACACCTTTGTGAGGAATGTTTTATTCTCACTTCTAACCGATGTGACATCTCACAATATTTAGTTGTTATTAATCAAGTACATAGTACTTATCTTGTATCCATAAATGCATGAAACAAGTTGACTTGGATTTAGTTAGTTTGTTAATAACATTACTAAAAGATTTTAATATTACAAAGTAAATCTCAAATCACAAATGGAAAAAAAAAGGGGGGGCCAAAATCACAAAACGGAGAAGAAAAACCAAATAGAGAGATATCTTTTTCAATGTGAACAACTACTCTGGCGACTCTTCTCTCCGTCCAGTGGTTCAGGCGTCCATGCGGCGGCCCAAACCACCGCCTGCCCCTTCCAAGCCAAGAAAATTCCGGCATCGGCGCCCTCGCCGTCATCCAACACCGTCCACCCATCCTTATACTTCCTTAAAAGCGCACGTACGTCGTCGTTTACATCCTCACTAAACGACACCGGTTTAAAACCACCCTCATGCAAACGACGAGCCCAACGCGCAGCCGTCTCGCGCCTCTCAACACACTCCGCTGGCGCGCGTGCAAGCAAGTCCACGATAGCGCGTCCAGCGGCGCGTTCGAGCATCAACTTTTCATCACTTGTGGAAGGGAAACTTCCGTCCAAGGAATCAAAGTAAACCCTAAACCACCGTAAACATTCTTGAACGTCTTTGACAAAGTCAACGCCGTCGCTATCGAGATCTGCCTGCTCCTCCACCACAGTGATTATCCTCGGCCGCAAAGCTCCGAACAGCGAAATCAGAAAATCGCGGCGGTTGTCGACGGGCGTGACGGAGCGGAAGGCGCCGACGCAGTTAATGGCAAGGGCTTCGTCGTCATTAACCCCTAACTCCGTGAAATTTAGCTGTGAAATATCGCCGGAGTAATATATTGCTTTGAATTTGAAGGGAACCCCCATAAGCCTCGCGAATTTCTCCATTCTTCTGCTAATTTCTCTCATCATCTTCTGCAAATCCATTTACGTAAATACAAGAATAATTTATTTTATTTTATCTATATATTTATTAACCATTTCTAAAAGAAAAATTATAAAATAAAAATAACTTCATTAAATTTTTTTTTAAATAGTTTAAATTTATTTTATTACTGATCTTAATTTGTAAAGATTTGATATTTGAAAGTATAATTTTTTTAAAATAATTAAAAAATAGGAACAAAACTAAGAACAACTCAAGGGCTCAACCACTCTGAACCTAAAAACTCGAATTACTGAACCCATTGGTAGATGTTTTGTATTTGAAAGTATATATTTTTTTAAATAATTAAAAAATAAGACCCACCCAACCTAAAAACTTGAATTATTGACCCAATAATTAATTTGAAATTTCCAACTAAACTTGTATACACCCTATAAGGAAGGAGAGCCTCCTGAGTGTCCACTTTGAGCATGAGATGTGAGCTTTTTGGTTTTCAAAAATGTCTCATTCCTCTAATTAGCGAACGTGTGACTCCCTCTCAACAAATATAACATAAATTTATAAATTTCAAACCTTATCCGATCTCGCTACGACTAGCGTCGTGAGCCTAAGGTGTGGAGTTTCGTCTGACCGAGATGCTAGAGCTTCAAGGAAAGTCGGCCATTGAGTACAAAAGGAGTTGCTAATATCAATTATATGCAACTTCTTTTCTCCTTCAAAAGCCTCCATGATAACACCATTTGAAGCAACATGACCAAACGTCATCCATGGACTCACCTCTTGAAACTTCAACACCATTCTTCTCATCGACGCGAAACAAGACCGTTTCTCCGACACCATTGCCAAGGTCTGGTAGCACCGTTCACCAGAGTTCGTGACATGACTAAACATAGCTCGAAGAAAGTAAAAAGCTAGTTTTTGATCAATGTCGCCATAGGGTGAACCGAGCTCGTTAAGCATCCACATGAGTTGTTGGATTTGAGAAGCGTTGTTATCAACAATGGCAATGGCAGTTTGGACAATCAACGTAGAAGCCCAACCATTAGAGAATTCCAAGTTCACGTCTAAAGGGGCGAACCAGCGATCAGTCGAATTGATAGTACCTAATAAGAATACAAATAAACAATCAGTATGATTTCGTTTATTTTGAACATCTTTTCTTAAATGGTCCCATACTAATAAAAATAATGTTCCTTACTTATATACTCGTGATCTTGATGAACATGGTCCTTATCAGGACGATGGTTGGAAGAAGAGGAGGCAGAGAAATGTGGTTGATCCACCATGAATGAGCTGGTGAAGCATTGTTCAGGTGGTGGTGGGTTAAGGAAACAATGATTTTGAAGATCGACAGAATTCTTGGAGCTGGTGCTTGAGTTGTAAGATTGATCAGAAGGTTGAAGGTTGGAGACAAGCCTGAACAAAGTATCCATTAATAAGAACACTTGAAGAACAGGAGAAAAAAGGGGAAATTTTGTGGGTTTGATTTGAAAAGGCATGAAATTGGGGAAGAGGAAGTGGAAAAATTGGTGGGTCTGACAAAAGATGATGAAAGTGAAGAAGAAAAGGGTTAGGAAATGTCGAGATCATTTCATAAGTTGGTGCCTTTTGCTTACCTTTCCACTGTTCATCCACTCTTTCTCTCTCTACATTTCTTTATCCAACTATATATTATATTCAACGTAACCATTATACAATATATTTTCTTTTTAATAATTATCTTATAGAAACTAAAGTTCTATATTCAAAACGTGACTTCTTTAATCATAATATATTATTTTGATTATGCTAAAAGTATGCCAAATGGAGGTTTTGAGGGAGCAGAGAGAGAGGGATGACTAAGAAGTAAAGCTGCCGGCCTGCCTCTTATCATCCTCCATCTCCCTATCCAAATTTGATTGGTTTTATTGTTTGGGTTGTGAAACAATAAAAATAATATGTTAATTCTTTGATTATAAACCCACGATCATTCCCTAAATTAGCTAATGTGAGACTTTTAATCCAACACCTCAGCTCGAACAAAATATGTCTCCTCTTAATCAAGGCTCGACTCCTTTTTCTTTTGGAGTCATTTTTTACTATGCCTTCGACTTTTTCTTTTAGAGTCCTTTGTTCGATATTTGAAAATTCTATTGGCATGACTAAGTTTAGGGCATGACTCTAACATCATGTTAGATGAACACGACTCTCCACAATAATATGATAATGTCCACTTTAAACATAAACTCTCACGATTTTGTAACTCAATTTCAATATACTAGAAACATGATTGGTTGGATTCAATACAATATAAATACAATATAATTTTAAGAGAATTTTAGGAACTAACTAAATCTATAAAATTTTCATTTGTTTAAATCCAACTCAATCCAAAATAAATTTATAATTGACGAATTTGATTTGGATTGAAATGATCGAGTTTTTCAAATCATGGGTTAGGTGTGATTGGTTTGGTTTTTGTTTCTTATTTTGTTTGTGGTAAACAAAGAAAGGTTGACAACAACGTTATTGTTTGATAGTACAAAAATAAATGTGTAGGCTTTTGAGGGAGCTTTCTGCTGAAACTTACAAAACCAAAAAAAAAAAAAAAAAAAAAAAAAA